GGTACAGCATCCCTCTCACATATTATAGTGTATCTCTGTGCTTAAGTCTTGCTGGGATGATGTAGTCTTTCTCAGATACTATCGGGTTCCTGTTCCATGCATTGTACTCTGCTAGCAGTTTGGAGATGGAGCTCAGTTCTGTAAGCTGCTCCTCTCTGTGCTGTGGAGCTTCAGTTCATTAATGCAACGATGTTGCCACTTCACCCAAGAACTCTGACCTCTAAGTTTTGGATGCCTGGCTGACTCTGTATGCCATTTCTGTCCAGTAATCATGCACATCATTCAACAGAGCTGAGCACTGGAATGAGAAAGGAGGAGGGTGTTGGCTTAGAACTGGTATTTAAAGGTCTGTTTCTCTTGGGGGGGGGATTGACTTATAGGTATAGATATATATATTATAAGGGTTTAAGATGGACAGCAGGGGTTATTGGATTTCTAAAGAGCCTGGGTTTCACACACAAAGTGTCTCACAGCCCTGAAAGCAGACAGGCTGTCTAGCACAACAAGGCCAACTGATGGATGCAGCCTGAGAATTGAGGGGGGCATGCCATAACGTGAGATCACAGCCTTCAAGGCAGACAGGTTCTCTAACACAACAAGGACACAAAGCCTGGGAATCAAGGAAGTATGTACCATACTGTCCCATAACATGAGATGAAAGACACCAGCTACAAGGCCTCAGAGCAGGGGAAGAAGTCCAGGTTTTGCAGGAACAGACCAAATTAGGAGAAGGCCCAGAAGGCTATGTGGACATGTGACCACAGAGAAACAACCAACCAGAGATAGCCATGGATGAAGAGTCATCAAGAGTCATCAAGGGGGAAGGAGAATACAAAAGCAGACTTGAGAGTAACAAAGGGTCCCTCCCCATTCCTTCTCATCCCTCCCTTTGTCCCAGCACTCCTCCCCAAGAGGGGACCCTGTCCCCATCCCCCAGGAAGGATCCCAAAGGCCACCATGAACTGAAGGCATATGACCAGCCCATCTCATACACCCCACTGGAGGCAGGGGGATGGAGGGCACCTTGGTATCCCACCTCAAGACTGCTGACACCTAAGAGAAACAGCCTCAGAGTGGAGCCTTCATCCTGGCCAGATGTATGTTGACTCTGATGACAGCCCTAGGATTGCAAGATATAGAATTGTTTGATTGTTTGTATCATTTCTTTTTTGTTATCACTCGGTATCAATAAATTTTCCTATTATTGAATGGAAGGTTGTGGTCGGTCTAAGGGCTGTGCTTGCCTGGAACAAAGGTATAAGGGCTGGGTCTTAAATTCAGTGCCAACACAGGGAATCCTGAGAAATGGAGTGAGAAAGATATAAAGGAGGAGAGAGAGAATGAAAAAAAAACAAAATGGAGAAAGTGAAGCAGGAGATGCATAAAAAAACAGAAGAGAGGGGAACAGCAAGGAGAGAGAAACAGAAAATGAGAGGGACTGTGAGAAGCATTGAATACTAGGTAGCCTGTGGTTATTAGGTGATACAGAGCTTTTCATAACAAAACATGACTGTCTGGCTGTGAAACAGATGGAAAGGAAGCCCAGGAGCATCTGAAGAACATGGGAAAGAACTCAACCCAAGGGGAAATAGATGTCTGCTCTGTATCTCAAGAGTGCCAAGAGCTAGGGGGCTGATATACAGAACCAGAAGGGAAATACTTTGGAAACATAGAAAGTTAATGCTTTGGTTTCTATCCCCCAGATCCCTTCCTTCAAATCTGGATCAGATCACAAAAGCAGTTAGTTCTTCAGGGAATAAAAACTGGGAAAGCAGGGTTGCTGCAGGTTAGAACTGAGATGCACTGGAAGAGCTGGGGGAGGTTCAAGGATGAAAATAGGAGAAGGGATTTCCAGGGAAGACTGAGGTGGAATGACATCACAGGGGACTGGGAAAGAATATGGGAGCAGGTGGCCTGATAAAAATAAAAGAAGCCTCAAGCTGTTATGTTCTGCTCCTTTACTCTCACACTGCAATGCAGGTCCAGGCTGCTGACGGGTGTTTCACTGCAAATTGTCCATGGAGTCCAGAGAGAGAGACCAACCCTCTGAAGGCAGTGCTCAGCTCCATGAGAGATGAGTGGTCAAGCTGCTTGAGGGGGGAATTTAGTGATCACGACATAAGCATGCTCATTACCCAAACTGAAGGCACATTAGGGGAGGATTAAAGAAGGAACTTCAATTTCTATTTTTTAGGTTAAACGACAGGACTTAAGACTCCTTGTTTGACCCCTAGGTGCTCTGCCACTGACCTGCTGTGCAGTCTTCTGGAACTCACTCTGCCCCAGATTGCCCTGTATTGGGTAACTTTGCATGCTCAAAAGCTGAGGCATCCCAAGTAAGACACTTTGGCCCAAATTCAGCTCCTTTAGGTGAGTTAGTGGTGTTATAGCTAACTGTAACCATGTAAGTGGCAAAACAGATCACTTACAGAGTTTAGAACCTACTCCCTGCAGTAACATATTTAAATCTAAGTTGCAAAACAACTCAAAAAGAAAGGGGAAGCGGGGTTACTCCCAACCTTAGCCTAGTTAGGGCACTTGGCCAGAGAGCAGGTTATCCAGATGCTAGGCACCCCCTTACCCTGAGAACTGGAACCTGCAACTCTTAGTGCTCAGCAACATGTCCTGGCTATTAGGCCAAGGGCTAAGAGCACCCTCCATACCTCCTGCTGAAGCTGTCCTGTTAGGTGGAAGGAGAGCCAGTCAGGAAGCCAGTCAGGAAGTCTTCACTGAGCCTGTCCAGGAGGGGATGAAAGCCTGAGATCTGGCTTTTCCCCCACCAGTGAGACAGAATCTATCTCAGTTCTCTCTCCAATTTATCCAATAACTATCAAATGCAAAATACAGAAACATCCTTGAGTGTAGGAGCAGTGGCTAGGATCACAACCACTTGTGAAAATATTTTCCATGTGCTGCCATGACATCTTTGTCAGTGTTACCTTTCCACTGATAGCTCATTTAGAGTAACTCAAGTTATCATGATGTCTGTGCTTCCTAAATGTGGAACTGTTGCACATAACTTGAATTCCCACATCAGTCTCAGAGAAACAAATCACTTTTCATGAGCCTTGTGGTATGTCCTCACCAGCATGTGTAGATTGCAGGATACAAAAAATCCTGAATTTAAATTGAAATGGAATGCATCAAACCCCAGCCCCAAGAGTATATCCCATGAGAATGAGCTGATATTGCTCACAATACAGTGTCATGATACCCCAGCTCACATTTGAAAGCTGTTGTAGGGGTGCTCTGTAGCCAGTGCAGGATAGCTGGAAATGGCAGATGGCAGCAGTGGATAGGCATGGTGTGGTTGCTATGTGTACCATCCAGGACAATTCTCATAAGGCAACAGGGTGATACTAGAATGGATTTGAGAATCTTAGTTGCATTTCTTTGTGCAATGTTCAGTGCCTCCCACTCCCATTCACTTGGTCCTGATGTTTTCTCTTGGAGATTCAATCGTGATTCACTTGGCTGAGATCTGTCCTGCTTTTAGATACCTAGGACGCTTGCTCTGCATTCATAGTCATTCCTCATTTTGAGCTTTTAGTTAGATATAGTCCTGGCCTGACTGGCCTGGAAAGTGAAGTTCCCTCTTCATCCCCAAACCAAACATATGCAGTGACAGTGAAAAATTTTCCATGCTGTTCTGCCCAAGTGTCCCAACCCTGGCCTAGATGGGCAAACTGTAAGGGAAACCAAACTTTTTCACCTCCCTGAAATTCCAGTCTTCAGCCTCTATGCTAAAACCTTCACCAAGCGGATGGGGGAGCAGGGGGAGGTGGCTTAGTTATCTTGTGATTACTTAGTTATCACAGAATAACTCCAAAATCCTGTTTTCACGCAATGTATCCCTGTCTACTCAGAAGTGCAATGAAGCCACCAGCTCATTAACTCCTTCCATATAACATGTCAAGTGTTAATAGTCATCAGTCAGGCATTGGTTTTGAGCCCCTGAAAGTTTCTATGTTCCCTTACCAAGCCTCCTAGATTTTTCTAAAAATAAGATAACATTAAAGCGACTTCTATTTGTGCCTTTGTAACAAACATCGGTTAAGCCATACTCTTCCTGCAACATGCCCTCAGAGATTTATTCCAAAGAACCTGCTCTCACATCCTTTTTGATATATTTTCTTTTTATCTGTCTTTCTTCTTTAGCATAGAGGGTTGGGAGAATTATAGCACAATGTACAGGACAGTTCAGGAGGTCTGTGTTCTATTCCCAGCTCTGCCATTGAACTGCTGTGTGAACATGGGCAAGTCATTTTGACAGTTGGTGTCTCTCTCCCACTCCCAGCTACAGTCTTTCATATCTGTTTAGACTGCAAGCCTTTCAAGAACTGTCTCCTATTAGGTGTTTGTTTTGTGTCTAGTTTGATGGGCTCTGCTCTTGGTTAGGGCCCCTGGGGGCTACTGAAATGCAAAATAACCATTATACAGCCAACCTCAAGTCAGAGTCCCTTCCAAAGATCCAGGCTCTGGAACTGATATGGGAAGCCTCTATTGCCAGAGCTCCATTGGTACTATGGGGATGAAGGCCATCAAAATGACTATTAATATTATAATTAAAAGTAAACCGGGGTACACACAAGCCGGAGCAGTTTTGAGTTTTTCAACTCTGACATTTAGGAATGTTGAGCCACAATTTGCATTTGTTGGCTTGTCCCCATCTTCCACCATACTCTGATATTGGTATTAAGGAGCACTGAGCAGAGCAGAGGAGTAAATGGGGTGATGTACTGCTGCAGGCTGTATCCATCAAATGTTAAATCAGTGACAACTCAAATCACTTCCTTCTCTAGAAAGTTCATTTCTTTATCCTGGAGCTAAACTCTTTCAAAAAATGGCATAGTTTCTATAAAACATCACGTGTGGAATTGAGGCATGTGGATGCAAACATTTTGGCATCACAATAGATGTCTCCAAGGCAGCATTTTTGGGAAGAATGAGTAATGTCTCTCCTTTGGGACAGACTGACAGTTGGGTGTTTCCTCTCATAGGACTACACCATCACCATGTACTTTCAGCAGAGCTGGCGGGACAAGCGCCTAGCATACAATGACCTTCCTCTAAACCTGACCCTGGACAACCGTGTGGCTGACCAGTTGTGGCTCCCTGACACATATTTCCTGAATGACAAGAAGTCCTTCCTACATGGGGTGACAGTGAAGAACCGTATGATCCGGCTCCATCCAGATGGGACTGTGCTCTATGGCCTAAGGTAAGTGTAGTAGGAGTTTTCATTATGTGCATGGTTATGAACACCATTGCCATTCATCTTATCACCTACCTCTCCCAAGATCCATTTTAAAAGAAGAGCCAGCAGGCAAGAGAGATTTGGTCAAGTGTTGCTCAGTTGTGTGTGTCTAAAATCATGTTCCACTCCAAAAGTCACTGCATTTTTTTATAGCTAAAATGATTTCAGGTAGATCAATATTAGGGATGGAGGGATATTTGAGGCCCCACACCAATGCAGGCCACTTTCATTCAAGTTGCCTATTGTTTCCATTTGAAGCTCACATCTTCATTTGCTCATAACTCATTTAGATTAGAGATCAGATTAAATATTCTGGGTTTGGTCTGACCAGGACTGAGTATTTATGGAAAGTTTGAGCCAAATCAGTTTAGTCATTTTGAGCATGTGGCATTGCAAAAACATACTCTGCCCATTAAAAAAAATATTGCAACCTTTATTTTGAACATATCAGATGCCAAAATGACTAGAGATAGACATCTGACCCAGCTCAGCTGTTCTGCTAGGAGCTTTGCTGCAGCCCTGCTGCCAAGAGCTCCTCTCGTTCTGGCTCCCAGGGCTAGAGTCCTTGACCAGCTCTAGCCCTGGGCTTATATGCCTTGCCCCCATCTGGTCAGGTGACTCCCTAATTGGCCCTTGCCACACTTGCAGGCTGCTAACTGAGCAGTCCCTCTTCTCTTAAAGTGACAGCCATACCAAGTGCCCTGTCACACCAACAGATTTATTTTGAAAAGGGTACCCCAAACTTTCCTATGTTAGAGGATGTTTCATATTTTGATGAAGTTTCCAGTACATGCCACTCTGTGGATCTCTGTGAGGATTCTATCCAACTTCATTGACAGGTCTATATTTATAACACACCAACCCCAGACTCACTAGGGGGGACCAGAAGGGTTTGGGGGAGACGCTGTTTCCCCTAGCGCCCGCTGGCATAACAAGAAGCAATGGGCACAAGTTGATGGAGAGGAGGTATAGATTGGACATCCGCAAGAACTACTTCACAGTTAGGGCGGCTAGGAGCTGGAACCAACTTCCAAGGGAAGTGGTGCTGGCCCCTACCCTGGGGGTCTTTAAGAAGAGGCTGGATGCCTACCTGGCTGGACTCATTTGAGTCCCGTCTCTTTTGGGGGTTTTTTGTTGTTCTCCCGCCCTGGCGGGGGGTCGGGCTAGAAGATCTACTAGGTCCCTTCCGACCCTTAATCTATGAATCTATGAATCTATGAAACCAAAAAAAAATGGTGGTCTCAGCTAAGGTTGGCTACTTTGGGTTAAAATAACAATGAACACAAGACAATTTAAGCACCCATTCAGGTCAGCAGCTTGAGTTCAAGCCTACAAGGAAGACTGACATCAAACACCTTGTTTTCTCTGATGCTGTGATCTGAATTAGCTGATGTGGATTAGCCAATATGAATTAAGAACAGTTTTTTTGCAGCATGAAGATACAATTTGGGTATGCATACACCCCCAGAGGACCACACCAGGGAGTGCCACTTCACATGTGCTGCCCCTCAAAATGGATGTACGCAAGTTTTGTAGAGCCATGATGGGTGCCAATCAGTGACTTTGCTATCTTTGGTATGCTTATTGATACAGATAGGCACAGCACAACAGGTGGTTACATGGCATCCATTTTGGAGTGGAGTGAGTGCACTGTGCTTCACCCAAGCACTTCCTAACATGGTTTAATGGTGTAGACATGACCCAAAGGTACAAAATGAAGGTGTTATTGTAGCAAATACCAGTGTGCCTGGACTAACTTAATCTGGCTAGAATGTATAACATTTCAATGTAGTCATGGTGATGTAGGTGTTAGCTTGCACTGGCAGCCAACATTCATAGACAGGATCTCCAGAGGGTTTGGCTCTGTTTGCTGAAGACTATACCACCACATCTTAACTACAAGTATTATGTGTTCTAGCTAAATTAAGATAGCACATGTATGGTAGCATGTGCTACAGTTGCAAGTTCATTTTGTGTGTAGGCACATCCTAAGAGCAAGTAATGCTCTTTGGACAGTGCCAAGAACAGCCTTGGACAGGCCACATTTAGAGGTAAGACAATAGGGATGGCACCTGGGATAATGAGAGAGAAAATAATCAGATCATTCTCCCCCATTTCTTTAAGGTCCTATGCCCATGTTGGTTTACATGAGAGCTGTTCCTTTCCCTCAGCAGTATTCTTACCACGAATACTCTCCAAGGTGCTGAACATTTGCATCTCCTGTTGCCGTCAGCAGGAACTGCTGGCGTTCACTTCACATCATAGGTCTCGTCAGGAGATGCCTTTCTTCCTGTGATGAAAGTGCAGGCTTCTGAGTGATAGCAGGCCCCAGGGAACACTTTAATAGATCCAGCCATCTTGTTCATAGAGATCTGGGTCATCATTTTTAAGAGACTTCATCTTAGTTTCTAAATTTGCTTTTGTGTTTTTGCTGCTACCAAGTACTTGTATCCACAAACATATTGGAGGACAATTTCAGGGTTCTTCTGAACACTGCCTCCTTTCTTCAGTTTGGGTTCTTTTGGGTTCTGTAGCATTTGATGGCTTCTTTGATAAAACAGTTTAACACTTAGGTTTCATACTAGAGAGAATCTGTTCTTGGTACTGACTATCTGTCTTGTGTTTCTCAAAGTTAGCTGTCTTGATCTTTTCTGCTATATGCCAGTCTTTGTTTTTGTCTTCATATCCTACCATCTTTCCTGCCCCACCCCCATCTGGGAGTTGATCCTGCAGTGAAGTTATTCATTGATGCTATTCGTTAGACTTCTGGTATGTTGGTCATTCTCTTTGCAGGGCACTATGGTCTCAAGCATAGGAGTCTAAATTCATGGCAGGTTCTGTCTGAAACTGAAGCTGAGCTGGAACAAAAATTTGACACAAATACCTTAAAATTGATGTGGGAATGCAGAAAGTTATATTCCAGTGGCTTTATCCCTGTGATGCTTGTGCTGTGGTGCAGGGATCAGCAATCTACAACCTCTGGAGCCTTTGAATCCAGACTCTGGAGCTATAGCTTCAGTGATAGCTGCTAGGGAAGTGGGGAGGCTCTGTCTACCCCACACCACACTCAGGTGGCAGGGAGAGCAGTGGAGGCAGCCAGGTCATAGTGCCTGTTAACCTCAGATTTGATCTGGGTCATTCCAGCTACCTACCAGAAATCTGGTACATCTGGCAGAAAGGCTCAGAATCAACCACCAGGGGCCCAGTTACGGCCCACCAGACTCAATGAGAGCTCTGCTCTTAACTTCAGAGAGACTAAGACCAGGTTCCAAGATACTATTTGTTTTCATGAGTAAATGAAGTCTTTTATTTTCCCCAGTTGCTCATTGTGAAAGTCCCTGTGTTGAAAAGATGCACATGTGCTTGTTTTGATACATTTAACAGATAAGTGGATGAAGGGGATGCAGCACATGTAAGATCATCTCATGAAACCACTTAATACACAGCATCTGACAAAAAGCTTACTCCAAAACTAACTTGCTTTGGTTTGGATCAAAGGCTCATGGCAGTCACCAACAAGTGGAACTAATTGAAAGCAATGTTTTGTGTCAGAAGAGGTGATTTTGGGGAGAGAGGTTTCTTAGGAGTCAACATGAGATCTGGTCTTGTCTAGCTCCTTCATTAAATATTTAAGAGATGGCATAACCAGCAGCTTAATAGCATTCAAAGGTGACACTGAATTGGGAGGAGTTTCAAATATGACAGAAGGAAGAGGCATTGGGTGAAAGAGGAGAACCCTAAAGGAGTTGAACAGGAAAATAATAAGATATGATTCAGTGTGGGGGAAATAATACAAATCAATGGGGAGAATAAGCTTGATTTAGCTAGCTGGAAACAACTTCTTCACTAGCTGTTGAAACAGCTTTCTTTTTTTTCTCTTCTTTTTTTTGGAAAACTTGTTTCTAACAATGTTTTTCTTTAATTTATTTCCAAATTGTATCATTTTTCAATGAAATATCCATAGGAAGAAATTTAAAATGGGAACTTTTTTTCCATAGAATAATTCTGTATTTATTTTGTGTGTGTTTTTCACACACATATTTTTATTATTTTTCATTATGTTGAGGCATTATGCACCAATAATAGTGCTGACTTCAATATATGATACATACTAGTTGAAACATCCTATTTATTATATTTTTTAAATAATTTAAAACACTTGCAATTTAATACTGATTGAAATACCCTTTTTAGATAAAAGTATCTCCTGTTTTAAAGAAAGTTTAATGCTTTTAGTCAAAAAGGTCAAAAAATCATTGCAATCATTATATTATTTAATTCCATTAATATAAATCCATACAATATCATTCTTAAAAATTCTAAAATGAATATTTTGGGGGTTTTTGGAAAACTAATTTTGCAGGAAATTTTGAAACCATTTGGATGTGTTGTGATTAAGATTGAAAACAAGCTTTAAATTCCCCTTAAATAGGTATTCCTAGCTTTGATTATCTCTAATTTCAAAATTCCTTGACTTCCAGTGATAGAGAGCTGTCAGGGCTGCAGGAGGAAGAAGTACGGCTGAGAGTGGGCAACAAGTCAGATGCAAAGCTGGACTACTAATCAGCCTGAGGATTGTTTTCTGAACAGCCAAAACAATGCAGAGTGATTTGACCTCCAGACCTAAAACCTCTGTGGAAATACTACGGGGCATCCTCACAAGCAAAGATTTTTTTTTTGGAGTGGGGGGTGATTATGACAGAATACTGTTTAGTGCATTCTGAAGAGAGAACATCAGAACTGCAACATATATGTAGTTTGAGGCATGGAGGAAAAGTTTCTGTGAAAGATGGTTTATAACATTTCGCTATCATCTCTTTAAAGTGAATTTGTATATCTGTGTACGTGTATGTATGTGTGGTCATATAGACTGCAGACTAAACACACCTGCTTCCCTACTCATAAACACAAATGAGCACACACCCACATACACAAGTCCAGGCACATTGCCATTTTATGTTAGG